ATATATATATATTTATATATATATATATATATATATATATATATATATTTATAGTTAGTATGAATAACTTAATAATGTAATTAATTAGTTAATTAATATTAAATAAAAAAAAGAAATGAAATATATTTATAAATTTATTATAAATATAAAAATAGATAAAAGTTATATAATTAATATAATTAGTTATATATTAATTATATTAATTAAATTAATATAAATAGATTAAAAAATAAAATAAAAAAAATAAAAATAAAATAAAATAAAAAAAATATAAATTACCGTATTGTTCTGGTGTCTCCTTTATGCCTATCCTTCTTTTGTTCATCAACTGTTTACTTTATTTTTATTTTATTTTATTTTATTTTATTTTTATTTATTTTATTTTTATTTATTTTATTTTTTTTTATTTTATTTTTATTTATTTTATATTTAACTAAATTAATATAAATAAATAAAATAAAAAACAAATAAAATAAAAAAATAAAAAAATAAAAAAAATAAAAATTAAATATAACTACTTACCGTATTGTTCTAGTGTTTCTTTGAGGGCTATTCTTCTCTGTATTGTTTTTATTTTTATTTTTATTTCACTTAATAAAATAAATAAAAAAATAAAATAAAAAACAAATAAAATAAATAAAAAAAACGAATAAAAAAATAAAAAATAAAAAAATAAATATATCTTACCGTATTGTTCTAGTGTTTCTTTGAGGGCTATTCTTCTCTGTATTATTTTTTATTTTTATTTTAATTTCACTTAACTAAATAAATAAAATAAACAAAATAAAAAATAAGTAAAATAAATAAATAAAACAAATAAAAAAATAAAAAATAAATAAAAAAATAAATAAAACATACCGTATTGTTCTAGTGTTTCTTTGAGTATTTCTTTTAGTTCATCAGCAGCACCCTGTACCTTAACAAATAGGGTGTACATACACCTGAGCTCTTGTATTTTATTTTCTTTAATCATATAAACACCGCCAGATATATTATTTCTGGATAGTTCTTTATAATAAGAACCAACAAAAATATTATACAAAAGAGCAGCAACTGCACCACCTGTCTCCTCCCCCAATACACCAGCCACCAGCTCAGCCTCAAGCAGCATACGTCGCTGT